AGAGATTAAGGCAAATAGTTCTTAGAAATAATTAATAATACCATTATGTGTGTGCAGATATTTAAACTATGAATCAGTTAAGATTAGAAACCATTTCAAGATAATAGTCAGGAATGTGATAGTGAACTCAATACAGAAATATGACTGAGTCCTCCCTTGATTAAATTCTGAGGTTTTGGGAGATTCTCTTTCTCTTGGTATGGATACTTAATATGAACAATTAATGTTAAATCAGGCTCATGGTCTATGAATAACAGCTTGTAAACAAAGAAGTGGAGGGAAGCAGGAAATGTGACCAAGGTCACTACATGGCTGCACACTCTTACTTGGAGATATCGTATTAGAAGTCTGTGGCTATAGTCCATGTGCCATGTGATGAACACAGTGTGCACAATCTGGAATTCATATAGCAAGTCGATTTTGCAAGGAATTTCTTGGACTCTAAAGAATGTCAGACATCAGAGGACCCATTGATTTGCTTTTCTTTTTGTCATGTCTTGACTTTACTACACCTTTGCTTGTGTCATTATAGTTCACAGTGGAAATTCTGACCATCTTGTTTCAAGTGCCTGTACTACGATTTCATATGTGTGTGTGTGTGTGTGTGTGTGTGTGTGTGTGTGTGTAGTGCATTCTCTTTACTCTCAACTTCTCTTGTCTCCCTCACACTCTTTTCATCCCCTCATCTCTCCACCCCTGGTCACTTTCCCATACTAAATTCCATTTTTTTTTGTGACCCTGTAATTTTAACCAGGAACAACTTGGTGGCCATGGATTTGGAACTGCTCATTGGAGCCTGGTGGGCTCATCAGTGGGTTCTGTTGTTATTATATAAGGTGAATTTTAAAGTAAACTTAATTCCTTCACTGAGATTCTTATTTAAAGAATATTCTCTTTATTGTCAAACACTGAGAAATTTGGGAGGATTTAACAGATCTTCCAAAGGAATGTTTGATTGGAATGAAGGCAGGCATGTCACTCTGTGAACATTCCTGGTTTTATAGTGTGTCTCAAATGTTCAAAGTAACTGATTTACCACTGACTTCTTTATGGTGAGATTTAAAATTGTCTGCATGTATGTTAATCTAGTTATTAGTAACATTTACCAATTTCAGTAGATTAAATCTTCCTTGCTTTGATGGTAATGTGTCTTTGATATCTAGTTGTTTATTTGGTTGTCTTCCTTTGAACCTTTAAGCCTACTTGGAAGAAAATTAAATAAAGCAAAAATGTCTTTACCATCTCCAACCTGCAGCGTTCTGGTGTGCTAGGAGCCTGTAAATGGGTGTTTAACCATTGGTCAAATAGCCAATAATTTTAATGTAGGTAAAGCAGTTGGAGATTGAAATTGTCATTCTTGTTCATATTTAATGGATTTTTGATAGATGTGCAAATAAATGCAATTTAATTCATATGTATAATGAAAAAAATTATTTTTGAGGATTACATTCTTGAGCATATTTGCCAAATCTCCTTCCTTCCCAGTCATCTTCTGAATCTTCCCATGTCCCCTCCAATTTATCATCTTGATTACTATTGTTGCATATATGTGTGTGTAATTTATTTGCTGTAATTTATATTGGTAAGATAATTATTATTTAAATATTTTATTTCTTGTTTCCTGATACAAACTGAACTGTGCTAATGGGTCAATATTAGTAATTGTGGAGGAAGGCTTACTTGGGGACTGGAGGGGACTGATGTACTTGTCATAGCTCATTTTTTTTTTCTATATAGCAACTTTCCCCAAACCCTGAAACTTCACCACAATTCACATTTTTGGTGAAGAAATAAGTAGTTGATTTTGTTTGTTTCCCATTTTATAGATGAAGACATGAAACAGAAGATTGTTGAGAGCTATTCCCCACTGCCTTTCATGTCTCTCTACTTGAACTCACTAGGGAATTAGTCATGCTATTAGACACAAGGCAGAACAGAAAACTATGGATCTTATGTTTTGTATGGATCCTGTTTTACTAAGAAGTTGGGTGTTTTAGGAAGATCAACTCTTCTTCATCTAGCAGCAATCAGTCGCCAACATTCCTTCAGATAAGATTGAGGTCTGCTGTTCATTTCCCAGATCTATGCTGGATTATTGTCTGCCTGAGTTTCCATGGGACTCATGTATGCTGACACCATTGCCACAGCATCATATGAGCAGGTTCCCAGGAGCTTGTAGGACCCTGTTTCTGTATGGTCATGCACCTCCTCCCTGGCTCTTACAATCTTTCTGCCCCCTCTTCTGTGATGGTCTCTGAGCCTTGGATGGGTGAAGTTTACTAAAGGGGTCCTGTCCAATGACCTGACTAGACTCAGTGGACAGACTTGTGCTGGAGACAGCTAGAGACACTGATAGCTGGGTACACTGATAATCCATTGTGCCTTAACAGGGATGACAAAATATATGGGCTCCAGTGGTGGGGGTGGAGGGCTATGGGACGATGCCAGTGGGTCAAGGGCGTAAAGATGACTAAGATTGTTCAAGATGTTCTATATGACATACACAAAAATTCAATAATATACATAATACATATAATTATATATATTATATGAATTTGGGTGTTTCTGAGTGCGTGTGCCATCCCTATCTGAATTATTTTAAGGACCACAGTAACCCTATGGTCACTGCAGGTATTGATCCTCCTAACCAACCCACTTATAGTTGAAGAAACTTAACTAAATCACAGAGAATTGGGGCTGGAGAGATGGCTCTGAGGTTAAGAACACTGACTGTTCTTGCAGAAGACCTGGGTTCGAATCCCAGCACCCACATGGCAGCTAACAATTGTCCATAACTCCAGTTCCAGGCAATCTAATGGTCTCTTCTGTCCTCCGAGGGCATTACATGACAAGGGTGCACTTACATACATACAGACAATACATGCATACACATAAAAGAAACATAATAAATAAAATATTGAAACAAAAAATAAAAAAAAATCACAGAGAGCTTGATTACTAGCCCAAGACTAAAATCCAGAGTAGAAACCTAGGCTTCTTGACTCTGAAGCCTTGAAACCACCCATTCCAGTCTTCATGAAAGTTGGCTATAAGTTGCAGAGCCACATTTAAGGTAAGATTCTATCTATTCAACCCTCATTAGTGACAAGTAATGTATTCTCAATTTTGTCTACTTGCTGAAGTTTATTTGTAATCCCCCAAATCAATAATCATAGCATGTTTGAATTTTTTGAAACCATTCACCGAGACATGAAAATTTTGGGTGTCCAGATGTATGTTTTAATTTGAGATTGGGTGGAGGGAGGATTAGGGGAAATGGGGGACACCCTGCCTTCTTGGTTCAGCTCTTATGCTATGTTATTTTTTATGTTACTGTTGTTGTTTTTTAGTACTGAGGATCAAAACCAGGGTTTTGTGTATAGTAGACAAGGTTTCTACCACTGGACCATCTCCTCTGTCATCACAGATATTCTTTCTATGCTTGATTTAATGTTTTGTACTGCTTCTTGGTATTTTTGCTATTTAAAATGTCTCCATGCACAGTTCTGAAGAGCTGGCTAGGGTTCAAATGGATTCTGAGGCCCCCTATAGATTAGCTTCATTCAGGCATGAATTACAGTGCTGTTGCCTTGAGTTCAATGTTAATGAATCAAAAACACATTGAAGTCAAATATGATGTCTTTGAAGAGAAACACATGAAACAAGGTTGTACATTATCTGTTGATGTAGATGTTGTGAGCATAAGTTCATAGGAACTTTCACAGCCATGATTTGGTATTCTCTAACCATGTCTGTGGCAACATTATAAAATGTAATTACACAATGAGAACCAAGCAGATTTAGGTTACTATTATCTTGCTTTCTATAATTGATGCATTAAATGTTGATGTATTTGTAAATGTTTTATTTATTAAAGGACATATACTATCAATTGAGGTTAATCGTGTTCAAATCGATAAAAATTTGTTCTTGAGGGGTGTGATGGTTAAAATGATGATTGTGCCCAGTTGGTGGTGCTGTTTTGGAAAGTTAGAAGGTGTGGCCTTGCTGGAGGAAGCACGTCACTGGGGGTGGGATTTGATAATTCTAGCCTTGCCCATTTCCAGTTAGGCTGTCTGCTTCCTGTACAGCCTCCTTGAAAATCTTACTAGAATCTTACTCCTCTGAAACCATAAGCCCAATAAAATCTTCTTTCTACACATTGCCTTGTTATTTTATCACCACAACAAAAAGTAACAAACAAGTGGTAAAAAAAAATCCTTACCTTTTTTTGCATAAAGCAGATACCTCTGTCTGGTCCAAGGTTCGGGAATGATTGGAGACCACCCACCAAAATTCAAAATTTAGAATATTTATTGAAAAGCATTCCAATTCTTGAATGACCAGTCGGGCACAGACTCCAAGAGCCAATGAATAGAGTCTGCCCCGACCAACAATGAGCCGGGGTTTTTATTGGGTACTCTTGAAAAAGCCCATGCAAACTGGGTGACCTTTGAATTGATTGGATAACTCTGAATTCATTGTATGGGGAGAAATTTCATTGGTTATAGTCATGGTCAGCCACCTGACCAATTTTTCTCAATTTTTCCTTTTATGATAGGGTGCCCCTACTGGCCACTGGATGCTCTTTTATGCTTAGGAATTTCGGTTGGTTTTAGCAATCCATGTCCAGGCTTCCCTAATCTTAGCCCTCAGTATGGGACAAAGGAGACTTACAGTTTCTAGGAACAGAGACTTAAGGCCGACAAGATGGAGGCTGCTAAAAAATGGAGCCAGAGACCTGGATCCTTCACCTCCACACAGCATATGATAGATACCCAGCATAATCATGGTGTTATAATGCTGTTACATGGGGAGCAATAATTTTAAAAGATTCAGAAGTGCTATTGTAGAGCACAGTGAATATTTAATAAGACAGAGCATCTGTATTATATATTCCCTCACTTGGAAATGATTGTGTGCCTTGGTGTGAGACCTAGTGGAAGGTGCAATCCAGTTCTGAAATGACAAAACTCAAGCTTTTTTGTTCTTTTCTCTAGGCAAAGGCAGCTCAAGCATCTCATCCGACGTGAGTTCAAGTACAGATCACACGCCAACCAAAGCCCAGAAGAATGTGGCCACCAGTGAAGGTAGGCATCTGTTCACTCCTACTACCTGCCGTCCCTTCACAGAACTGACTGTTCCTTGAAGACAAAATGTAGGAGTTTTAGCTTTATTCTATTGCTTGAAAGCATATCAGATTTTTAAAAAAATTTTGTCCCCTGCCCTGCCCCCCAGGCTGAAGACTGAACCCAGGGCCTTGTGCTTGCTAGGCAAGCACTCTACCACTGAGCTAAATCCCCATCTCCTCATATCAGGTGTTTACAAAAGAGAAGGCAAAGGGTCTCTTGAGATTCAGTTTCACTACACTGTTGTGACCTCCATTAAAGTTGATTGGGTGAGATTTAAGTGTCTTGATTTTAAGTCAAATACTATTATTTTGTGAAAATATGATAGGCAGACTTAAGAGAAGCCACTAAGATATCACATGCCTGTTTTTCAGTATGACAGATGGTAAGATTATGGAAGTCTTGTGATACAGTTGAAGGTTCCAACAAGAATGTGCAAAATACTTGTACCTGAAATAGTTGTGTTTATACAGGAGGCACACAGTCATGTTATCATAGGAATTGAATTCATCACCAGTGTTTGGAATTTGCAAAGAAGCTTTGTTTGATTATTTACACAATAAGTGAAAAGACATCACTATTACTACAACCATTGGTGTCATCTACATTGTTGAAGGACTCTGCTGATGAGTTTGTAGAACTACCTGTTGGAATTCAGTTGTTTCCTAAGAAGCTTTGAGTCATTACTTGATTCGTTGAGGAATTGCATCTATGGTATTTAATGTAAAGTTGCTCCAATTATTTTATTTTAATGTTACACAATGAAATGATTTCCCTTTCTGAACAAAAGTTCATTTTAAATTTTAATTGTGCCATTTATACTGAAAGACTTTTTTTGTAGTGTCAGCTAATTTTCAAATTTATTCAACCTGATTTTCTGACACGCACAGGGTATTGTAGAAGCACATTTCCAGTTTTTGTTTCCCAGGCTTAATTTCTGCAGCGCCTTGCATTAGGAAGTATGCAGTGTCACAGCCTGACATTGGCCTTTGCAGTTCTTCAACTTCTGTTTCTTTGTATTATACTCTGCACGTTAATGACAGTGGCTTCCCTCTGCTGATGTAGCTTCTCTATATATAATTTTTGTCTTGTTTCAGGGAGCACAGAATGACTTTCTCAGAGCCAATTATCCTCAGAATAGTGTATAAATAGCTTTATGGTTGGATTATATTCATCTGTGTTTAGAACTTTCACATCGGTTCATGTATGTCACCAGTTCATAAGGCATACAGATTGGTATGTTCTCCTTACCACAGCAAAGCACCAGGTAGCAATCCAATTTTAATTTTCTGCCTGCTAAGTTAAATGGGGGCATTAGATCATTCTTGAAATTCATTTGAGGTAATGTGCAAACCGGCCTAATTGATTTTAGACATTTGCTTTTGAGAGCTCTGGCTCTTAGGAGTCAGAGTGGAAACCATTTCCATTTATTCAGTGTGGCCCTCTCTAATCAGAAATCCATTTGTGAAACTCTCATTTTTTTCCCCTAGTACATAGCAGTTACTCGTGTTACATTCATGTGTCTATGAAAATAAAAAATTAATTTTAGATAACCTGTGTTTGCCTGTATTTGTTTCCTCATTCTTTTGTTCTTTCAAATGCATAAAATGCAGAACTAATCAAACTTAGTTGAAAGAATTGGGAAAAGAGACTCTGGGATTTTGTGCATTTAAAAATGGCACTTTTATATTGAAAATAAAAGGAAGAAATCTGTAGGCATTGTAAAGTTTTATTTTCTTTTGCCTTTCTCTTAAGAAGAGATGCAGGCCTCCCACCAAGGTCTTATACATTTTTCCACAATGTATTTTTTTTTTGTCTTTTCTTTGAATAAGGAGATAAAATTAGGGGAAAAGTACTAGGAAAATTTGATGTTCCTATGAAATGAACATTTTAGTAAATGGGCTAAATTAGCATGGAACATCTTCCAAGATCCTAAGAGGAATAACCTCATCCCTGTGAAAGATGTCATTTCCTTGCATAACTGAATAAAAAGTAAAAAGGAAGTATTAATCTTTGCTGAGAGAGAGAGAGAGAGAGAGAGAGAGAGAGAGAGAGAGAGAATTCAATTTTGCCACAGGTTTCTGAACAATGGAAATTGAAAATATTAAAATATGAATTCAGCATGGACATTTGTTTCATGACAATGAGTTTGAGGGATACTTGCTGTACAACTGTCTTCTTGTAAGGCTGATGAGTACCCAGGACTAATTTTTTCCATACACAGAAGATAGGGCCTGAGGCTGCCTCTCAGGATGAGTGATTAGGGTGGCACATTCTCTGACTTCCACAGACAGGGTGGATTTGCTTGATTGTGTGTGAGCTGCTTCCTTCTGGGAAACACCTAGGTGACCCCTGTGAATTCCACTCTGGTAGAGTGTTTGAAGGCAAACACTGACTTTTGACACAGAAAACAGAAGTGCACATTTAATATTGCTTCTCTGATTTTTTTCACAAGATTTTTCAAGAGTTATGTTTAGCTTTTTTTAAAAAAGATGCATTTTTATTTTTATTTATATGTCTGTGTGTGTGTGTGTGTGTGTGTGTGTGTGTGTGTGCCAAGTGTGTACAGGTGCCTATGGATGCCAGAGGACAGCATTGGATTCGCAAGGGCTGGAGTTACAGGTGTTTGTGAGCTACTATATGTCAGTCCTGGGAACTGAACACAGTCCCTCTAGAAGAGCAGCAAGTTCCCTTAATTGCTGAGCCATCTTGCCAGTCCTTGTGTTTAACCTCTTACGTTTAGAAAACTGACTGAATTGGATTTCTGGAAGCTGTTGAATTACATGATTATCTTCATCCCTGATCCTCACCTGATTTTCACTTCTGACCTCATCATTGTTACCTTTCAGGAACACAGGCATGTTTCTCAGTTTAAAGGTCTGAACAATGTTTTTATATATATATTACGTTATATATTATATATTATATATAAACATTGTTAATATTATAATATAATATATAATATTCTGTTTCCATGTAGCTTTTGAAAACTTTTAACAGTTGGATTTCAAATACCTTGCAGTAGTGCTGGGCTTTTAGCCTTGATGCATCACCAGAGAATGTACTATATTGGAACTTTGTTTTTGTTGTTGTTTGCAGTTAAGTGAGCACATGTTTGTGTAGAGTCTTCCAAGTAGTAATGGTAAAAACAGTCCCTCTAATTAATGTGTGATAGCAAATAAATCAAGGACAAGGGGTGCAAGGAAGAGAAGGGCATTCACATATGTGCTTAACCCCAGTGCGGGATGAAAATTAACTTTAAGAAGACATGAGGAAAATCACTGTGGAGATGTCAGTATTTTGAACGTGGACAGTGGTAAAGATTCCATGCCTCTGAGGCCACTTTAAAGGAGTCTTATAAGAAGTGCTGTTGGGGAGCTGCCATGTCTGCATTTTTCTCAGGCTTATGTCCAACAGTACTACCAATACCTTGAAATTGCTGCCTCTGAACTTTGGAGAGGAGCAGGGACAGTGGTACATCCTCTTCCCGGGCTACGGCTTGGCCTGTGCAAAGTGAAGGGTTAGGCTGCCACGTGATGGGTCTCCTGAGTCATTTTGCCTGTTGGACAGAACTGACCTGAGCGTGGTCTGCTGTTCCCAGCCAGTGTGTGTAGTGCCTGTTTTAAGCTGCCTCTGTTAAGGAGTTCCAGGTCACTGGAAAAAGACCACTCAGATGCAAAAAAGTTCTGAATCAGCCAAATCAATTTAGCTGACCAAGCTCAGGCTATCACACCTCATCACAGGATAGTTCTTCTTTGAAATTCTGGAAGTCAGGGGAGAATATGGACTCTTGGGTTTCCAAAACAGGCTCTTCTATTTTCTTACATTTTCCCAAGTATTATGTAATTTCAGTTCAGATTTTAAGTGTTCTAACCCCATACCTTTGCATAGTAAAGGCATTACATTTTTTTTCACTTTAGCAAGTTTGTTTCTTTGCTGAACATTATGCCCTATTGCCTATCTAGCATCCCACTACTCCACTGTGGGTCATAGGCTATTCCTTTGTTCAAGGTGGGCAAAGGTGTTGATAAAATTTAGGTTTATTCCATGAAGATAATCCTTTCAGTTTTCTTTTTGAGATGGGAGGTTTATTGGGTAGATCAGTCTAGCCTTGATGTTGTAATTACTGTACTTCAGTTTTCCAAGTACAAGGATTGCAGGTATACACTATCACACTCAATTGATAATGTGGCATTTTTTTGACCCAGAGGAATGTTCTTATGCAGAAATTTTTGTGCATCTTCATTTTGTGTCTCTAAAGTCATACCCGTTTTAAGGCGCTGGCAGCAGGCATGGACTTCTCCTGATAAGTGGTTGTGGGTTTTCTTTACAGTCCACTGTATTTCTTCTGACAGTTTAAGTTTCTGATTTCCTGACATTATGGGGGTTTAGGTTCAATTATAGAAAGCTGGAAATTTTCCATTTTTCTCAACATAATCTGCATTCTAACCTTGTAAGATGCAGCTTAATTCTTTCCAGTTGTGTTGCTATTCTTTCTTTTTCTGTTTTGGCAGTCTTTCCCATCCATTTCCATGGGGTATTCTATCCTAGAAAGACTGGCCTTTGACCCTAATCACTGAAAGTCACATGGTTTATGTGGATTGAATGGAGCACACAGACTCAGCCTTGAGCAGAGGCAGTGATCTAGGTTAGGTTATGAAGTCTCCTAGAAAGCAAACTGAACTTTGCCTTCTTTCATGGATAACATGGTATGAGGATGTGGCTTTAAGGATAACATCTCAACATCTCAGCCTTCTCTTGAGCTGGAGTAAAATGAGGTAGTGAGTTTAAAGGTCAAATTTAATTGGTTGCTGATGAGCTTTTATTCAGCTGCTCTTTAAACATATCCAAGTTCAGATATTATACTCACTGAAAGCACAAGTTATGATTGCAATGTTTGGTTTCTAAATGTTGGTTGTCAGGCCAGTTAGCTACACAGTTATAGGATTTCAGAACTATAA